CAAAAAATAAATTCTACGATTCGACAAGGGAGAAAGGAGGCAAGAGGAATTCTGTCAGCTTCGTATTTCTGGCTTAAGAATTTAGTTTTAGTTTGTGAATATAAGCAAACTACTTTTATTCAAGTTAGTATTTATCAACTTGAATAAATGTACGACGATTAAAGCGTAGAATAAATTTATTTATTTTTTACATTTTCTGCACTCTTTGTATTTAACTAACAGTTAAAACATCATCTAAATATATATTTAGTTTTCGAATATTGGAAAGGAGTGGAATGATCTTCTTGCAGCTGTGAATGGGTGCAGGGTTTAAGAAAGGTTGAGAACTCTAATATAGAGCTTTATAGTATGTCTCTGTTTCCTTAAAGCCCTTTATTATAAATACATCATAAAACAGAAGTCCCATGGATCCAAAATCCACGAAGAAATCAGTTATTAAGGCGAAAATAACCACTATCTAGAGGAATTTATTCAAAAAATGTTTGGAGTTCAATCTCTGAACGTTTTCAGGATGGGAGTTAAATCAATATTTAAAAAGTTTTCAGAATGTTGTATTAAAAAAAAAGTTAAGGGGAGGGTACAAGCAAGTAAATAGGGTAGGCAGGGAAATGCATGCTTGCTTGTCCTAATTATGCATCAAATATAAGAAGTAAAATCTCTTTCTTTAACATACTACTTTTTGTTCATGATTTCAAAACATTCTTCATCCGAAAAATTATATGTCATTTTATCACTGATACAGCATTCAGCTATAATATTTTATGGTATATGATTTACATTAACTTAAAGAAACACGTTTTATACAGGTCGTCCGTTGGCATATTGTTAATATATAAACCTACTTCGTCAAGCTTCCATTCCACTATTAGCAGCATCTGTACTGTACAACGGTACCTCGATATACGTCATTAATCCAGTTCAGATCGTTCGATGTATACCAAAGCAACATTTTCTATAAGAAATAAAAGGACAATAATCAGTTCGTTCGTATAAAAAATCCATTTGTTTTCATTTTAATACTGAATATAAATGCAGTAGTTTCGTGTTTCACTCACTACATTCATAATGGTTATATACTGTATATAAATGCAGCATGGTACACGATACTGTATACAAAGGTTTTGCTGCTATCCAAATAAAGAGCAATACGTCTTTGATCTTTGTTTGTAAATCGATTCTCCATCTTCGTAACGTTAACCGATTTAATAGCATCTTTTCGTTTCATATTTCTAGGTACCATAGAATTCAATAATCAAATCCCAGGGAAGCATGCCGCCCTCATATTTTTCAACAATCTCTTTTTTCTCCTGCATGATAATGTTATCGTTAATACTTCTTCGTTGACTGTGCATATTAACTTTCTTAAAAGTCACTGTTAACGAATTTACAAAAAACATTACGCGAAAACACAACACAAAATCTCCTGAAAATTTGGGAGTTATCAATCATCTAACTGAAGTCGTATTCCAAAGAAATGTTTTACACTAAAGAGATTTTCACTCTAGAAACGTAGCGTTTCAGTCTAGCTAGGTTTCTACTATGGAAAATACTGTCTTGACAATGATATGAACTGTTAAATTATTAACGAAATAAAGAATTATTAGAAGGTTCAGCGTGACTGTCCGAATTTGACAAATTCCCACCTGGATTATTATCTCGGTTGTGTTTGGATTTTTTGGGATAAAAATGTTAACTAGACAGATCATAGAACTTGAAGCTACGTGCGAACTTTACTTAGCGACTACTTCCAAATTGACAATTTTTCATAATTCTGTTGCCAATAGCTTTTAGAGCTAGCATGTTAAGCCTTAAACGGCTGCACGTGGTTCAGGTAAAAATAAAAATTGGAAATTCAGATTCTGATTTAACTGATAACGATGGTGATTTTAAGAAACCAAAATAACTGTAAAGCCAAAATTTGCTAAAACTAAGAATGTACTCGTTTCACATAGTTTTGATGTCTTGGCTAATACTGTTCATGTAAGTAACAATTATGACTGAAATGTTCATATGAATAATAGTTGTAATAGCGGTAATAATTGTGATTTTAATTGTCAGGCGAGTACTAGCTCGAAGAAGAAAAAGCAATAAACATTGTCATGTTGAAAACAACAGAAAATGAAAAATTTGAGGATTTTGCGAAACTCTCACAGGAAATCTATGTGATGTAAAATTTTTCTATTGCCTCGGCGGTGAGTTTTTGAGAGTTTTACCAGAAATTGAGAATGGTCTTTGTACTATTAGTAAATATTTTGTTGAAAATTCCGTTGATCATTTTGTAGTCAATTTTCAGCGAGAAAGCCTATTAAAGGTTTATTACGGGAGTTTCATCTACTATGACTCTACTATGACTAGCATTAATAAACCTGCACTTGAAGGAAACATTTTGAGTTATAAAGTGCACGAGGTAGTACAGTTAACGAAAAATCGGACCAAGGTACTTAGGCCTTTATTTTAAACCTAGTTACTTAGAATCTAATGAGTTGAGGATATTTATAAGCTTACTGTACTTTTGAAAAATAAACTGTTTAAAATAAAATAACTGTTTTTAATATCAAATACCCCAATAATTTAATTGCCCAAAGAAGCACCATTCTTCGGAAACCTCACATGGCGCCAAGTTGTGTGAAATGTGGGGGGTTCCATGAAAGTTTTAATTGTGACATTAAATGCAGAAATGGATACATACTATTCGATCTGCAACAAGTTCAGAAAAAGTTGCAAATATGTTTTGTTAATTTGTTTGACAGCGACATATCTCAGTATAGCAAATAACTGAATTTTTGTCATATGTCATTTCATTATGAAAAATTCAACTTAAGTTAGCTTAGAAATTTCTAATTGTTATTTTAGCGAGTAACTCTAATAGTATTAATATCAATATATATTGCAGTTTATATGGTCAAACTTATACAGCAGAGATAAATTGAAATCGGATCATAAGTCAATTAGAATTATAGCATCTCTCTAAACATGACTGTTCGATGATTTTTCGGACTCTTTATGATAACTAACTGCTTCCTTAGAAATAAACTGTATCAAACAATATTTGCTTTCCTTTCTTTAAGTATTATCTATGCGAAATCGATTCCTATTTTATTTTTTATATTTAAAGAATAAAATTTCTTTTGCATCCTAAATATTTAAAAGCACTGTAAACTTTCAAGAGACAAAAAGACTTTAGAAACAACATTTAATTGCAAACAATAATTACTTTTATTCTCTGGGAAACTAAAAGTATTAACCAAGAGATCTGTTTATAATTGATTGACAAAAAACAAGCTGCGTAACTGCTTTCTCTCTGTGAAGCTAAGCGAACAAGCCCTGAAAATATGCCACGGGTTTAAATGCTCATTCCGCCAGAACATTATCAAATAGTGATTCAACATAAAAAAAAATTATAATATAACTCTTGAGAGAAATATCACGAATAATAATTATTAAATATTCTAAAAACTTTTCAGCGTAAAGACTGCTAGAATGTAATAGAGGAAATTTAAAAAACAAAATTCCTAAGTTGAAATTATAAATCTATTAATTTTGGAAAAAAAAAAAAAAAAAAAACATAAAATCTAGTATAGTTAGCCAGAAGTGAAATAAAGAATTTATTTTATTCAGTTGGAAGCATATTAGAGAGCTTAACAACGGTTTTAAATTTCGAAAGAATCTTAAGATATTGAGCAGCAAATGTTCAATTCAAACGAGGTTTCAACAATCAGTTAGTAATAATTCCTTTATCAATTTAGTGACTCAACAGTATAGTATGCATTTTCTGTCCATACTAACAAGCTAGCTGTGCTTGTCAGCTTTGAAAATAATGCTGTTTTGTTTAGAATCGATTCCACCTAAGGTATTCTTCTCCTTCTGTTAAAATTAGAAATGAAAAATTTGTTATAAAGTAAACGCTATGAGTAACTAAACGACAAATTGTAACTTCTGAAGTTTTGCCGAATTTAAAACCATTTTCAATAGAAGCAATGATTTTTAGAACAGAAGCTTTGCTATTTTTCAGAACAATTGTAGAGACATTAGATACTTTTTTGGAAGCAAAACAGAATGAAAGCCACGCCTTCGCCGAGAAACGAACCACGGACCTTTCAATTTACGCGCTGAGCGTAATTGAACCATTACACCACGAAGGCACGCCAAGAAGGTGGAAGAAATACCTTATACACTGGTAAAAGAATTGCCCCAATGATCACTGAAAAAGACTTGAGAACATTTGCCGCTTTGCTACACAAAGACCTTCTTCTATTACAAATAACATTTTATTTGCAATGCACAAAATTTACTCACTTGTGACATATAAACTAATATCTAATCAAAATGCTGCAATTTTTCATATTATATGTTTGAATTACTTTCTAATTCCACATAATGGCATTTAACGTTAGTGTGAAATTTATTTCAAGCATTATAGGAGCTTAACTGCTCTTCTAATTTTCCATCGTTATTTTCAATATGTTTATAAGTCACAGACGTTTTAAGTTTTCTTACCACCTTTAGAATTATTTTGGTATATTTTTTACGTAAAAATGGTGCTTCCGATTTGTGTGTACATTGACACTTCGTAACATTTTAACTCCTTGGTACTTCAAAAGTATGTGTCATTCAAAAGTCTTACATTTTGTTTCCTTTTCTTCAACTTCTTTTTTTTTAAAAATACGAAGTAAATTTTTTTAAAAATTATTGCTATAACAGCAACAACAGTTTTAAATAGAGGACCGTTTATGAAATAGTGAAGGAGAATATTTTCCCCTCCAAAATGCTTGACTAAAAATACGCTAAAATGTACAAAGTAGTTCCTGGATTTTAGTCAAAATACTAAAATAATTACAATAACGATCAAATATTAATCTTTTAAAAGCTGTAAAGCTTACAAAGGCATCGAAGTAAAAGTAAATAACATATGATATCATTTTTCTTTATTATCTACAGGAACTGATTTTGAAGTGGAGGAGTATGTTTCGAGTACTCGACACGTAAATCTACTTTCATAGATATCTTTTGTGAAAGAATATTTTAATCTATTAGAGCTTATCAGTCCGGTATCTGAAATGCATATAAATTAAGTGCACTAATCAACAGACTTACTTGACAAAAAGCTGTGCAGCCAGATCTGAAAATCATATATTCACGATGCTTCGATATACGTAAGTTTTCCATTCACTTTTTAAAATTAAATATTACGAATGCTGTAAATTTCTGTTAAAAGATAATTTAAAAATATTTTGCATAAATAAAAATATTTTTGCTTAAAAATGATTTTACTAATAAACGACCAGGTTTTAGAATTAGATATAATTAATTTTTTATTAAGGATTTGCTGATATTTTATTTGCTATTTAAGTTTTATAAAATTAAATTTTGTAAAATAAAACTGAACTGCAATTAATTTACGTAATCGCAGAAATATTTATGTTTCTTTTTGCACAGTTGTTTAATTTACCTTTGCATCTGTTCGAAGTTTGCTTACGTAGTGAACATAAGTTTTGATAGTTTGCAAATTCTTTTACACATTTTAACTTAGATTATAAAAAGTTTTTTAGTAGGATTTTTTAAAATGCTGAATTAGTAAAATTACCACTACTAATTAAAATTCATACATGATATAGTATCGATAAAATTATCTATGCCAGTTCTTTAAATGTCAACATTCATAACTGCATACTTTACGGCTAACAGGGATAAGATTTGATAATAGAAATTCATACGGGAAAAAATTTAAAAAATCAAAAAATATCAAGATTAAGGAAGTTATATAAAAACATTTTATGCATTTCCAAAAGTAAATATGTAAAATCATTTTTAAATGGATTATGTAACAACTTTTATTCGCGATATTTTAAAACGCGTGCAAGAAAATTTAAGCTGCATAAGTTAATCTTAGTTAATATGATGAACAAATTATAAATTTCATTACTATCTTTATAAAACGTACCCATCACATCTACAAGCTATTTAAGTAAAAGAAAATATTGGCGTTGACTTCGGATTTTGAGAAGAAAATATTGGGGGTTGGCTTCGGATTTTAAGTGACATTGTGATTGTTTCAGCGATGTGGATTCTTGGGGGTAAGGCTGAAGTCTACGTCTTTGCAAATTCAAATCTAAATGGTTATATTCCTTATATGCATCAAACGATAAGTAATATTTATTTAAAAATCGCTCTTGAACTTGAAATGTTTCTGAAATTTAATCATTTTCAAACAGAAAGAAAAATGATTTAATTAATCAATTTTTTCTTTGACAGGTGGTTGTTGTGTACTTGCATGGTATTCTTCATAGAATCTGAAATAGGTTTCTGTGAAAATACAAAGGAAGGAAAGAAAAATTTTTTCCAAATTTTAGAGAATGCTGTGTATCCAGCAAAGCAAGAAAATCGTCCATGTAAGTTCATACTTTTATAATTATATATATTGATCAAGAAAATATTTGCAAAGAAACTGAATTTTAAAAAGCAGCCAAAGATTTATGAATAAAATTTAATTACTAATAGTACTCTGCTACGATATATTATTCACTAACTAGATGTTTATTTATTTCCTTCAATAAGATAAAATACTGAGAGGGAAGGAATGCTTTTGTGAAAGTTTCCGCATTTACAATACACTTGAAGAACAGCACGAAATTTCCAGCCAACGCATTAGCTACGATTAGAGCCCCTATCACTATACAGAAAATACTTGCGTTTGTGATCATAACCACCCTTGACACGAATTATTTCAAGTATGCAAATAGTAAATTTGAACTACTCAGCAATTTCTTTTATATTGCCACAGATACTTTCTCTATTACACGCGTATTTTCATTGCAATGCATAGTTATGAATACCACACTTAAGTATGTACGTCTGTCTACAGCGTTACAATAAATGTATTTACAATTGCAATATCTTAGAAAGAGCCTCGAAACAATAATTTGCATTGCATGCAATTATACGAAAACTGGTCTTATTGTCATATGTTTCTTACTGAAGTCATATTCCTTAATTATTGTCTTGGTTACTTAACTGCATTAAAAAACGCTAGGCTCTTTCCTCATCGATAGATATATCTTTTAGTACCCTTAGCCTTCATAGCTGACATAATCCCAAGACTTGTTTTTCCATAACGACTAAAAAAAAAATGTTCCTAAATAAGCATAGGCAGCGGGAGACCGCATAAAGTTTAGATTTCTTTATTTGTAAAAAATTAATTTTTTTTAACTGGGCATTGCCGAAACATGAATATTTCCTTCATTTAAAACACTGCTATAACTGGAAATATACGACTACTATCAATGCTTGCAAAAACTGAGATCGGGGGAAAATTTTTAAGCCGGGTAACGGGGATGGGCATATTGGTAGTGTAGCCTGCAATAAAAAAATGGAAGATGCACAACTAGATGTTATATCAGTTCCATACACAAAATTTCGACGCTCTGCGGCTAATCCTTTTGAGCTATGCTAGATAGGTAAGTACAGAAGTCACGAAAACATCCATTTTGAATCCATGTTACGATCCGTTTCGGGTAAAAGGGTTCTTTATTCTCTTCGTACCCACAGCTGTCAGGCAAAAAGATAGTCAAAATAGATTCAGAAACTATCAAAACTGTTTATGAGAAAATTTTTGTTGAGAAATTCTCATCTCAACACGTCATATTCTCGCCTTAACTCCGTTTGTCTGCTGATATATATATGAAAACAATTCGTGTTATTCCCGTGGCAATGCAAACACAAAGTTTTGTTCCGCTGGACAACGACATGTTATAAGTTCGCTTTTAATACTGTGACATGACTTGCTTCATTCGGTGTTACCAGATAAAAAGATTTTCAATGTTGTACTTGTATACGATTTCAGTAATAATAAAACGCAATGGAAAATGTCTGTATCAATTCTTAAAGTTATGATTCCTAACTGAAAGGTTAATATGAAAGATTAAATTAATGTGAGATTACCGGTGAAGCTAATGCATAACAGACAGTATGTCCGGTTATAAACAGTTTAAGTTCTCTTAAGCATAAAAGGCAAAGAAATAAGTTTCCGGTGGACTCGTAAGCATACAAATTAAAAAGTAGTTGATTGGTCCTAAGTAGTTTTCAGAGATGAGTAAAGATTTACGACGGGATATGTTTATCTGTGTGTGAAGATTTGAAGACACTAATGAACACGAAACAAGTCTAATAATGAAACTGAATACTACACTTTTAATTCAATCAAAACCAAAGGTGAGGACTGGACAAACCTAATGTGTGATTATTTCGAGAAAGAAGACATTTATTACATGGAATATTCATGATATTCGTATGTTATCAAACACATACAAGGCCTTTGAGATACCTACGGATGTGTGGTGTCTATTCCTGCATTCTTCTCCGATCATTATTTAAGAGCTTGAAATGACTGCATGAGATAAATGGCAAACATTATTCTCTAAGGGTGTACTTTAAAGTAATTTAAGTATTAATACTTAGTTGATGAAATGCAACTCCGTTACCGAATCTACTTAAAGTTCAGCAATGTCATATTACTTATCAGTTTCGTTTGATTGTAAAAACTGTGATGCACATTTATAAATATATTTAAATAGTTTAATAGTTAAATATATTTAATTTAATACAAGTTTTCGGTCACGGATGCATAGTCCATTTGGTTACTTCATGTGAAATTTTAAGATTAACAGTGCATTAACCAGCTATACTGAATTTACTGTTACATTCATAATGTAATAACAGTATAGTTAGGGACTCCTGTTGTCATACACGCAAATCTATCGGTTCTCCAACAGTTCAGTCTAAATATTTGCAAAAGTGCGAATTTTATGAAAGGTTTAATATTTCGAAAATTGGTTTGAGGTTGCTATAGTAAAGATATGAGGTAAAATTTGACCAGATGGATTTATGCGAAAGTCTTTCCTATATGATACCACTATAGTATTAATCGCTAAATGTAACACAATGAAGGAAGTATCTAAAAAGCTTTAAATTTTCTTCATGAGCAGTTCTCGACAGGACATGAAAATGTTTACTATTGCAATGCAACTCCAGATCATATACGTCAGAAACGCCACCTAGAAATACTATAAAATGGAAAAAAACTAAGCTGTTCTAAGGATCGAAATTATGTCTATTGGGGAAATTTTCAGGGAAACTTCAGAATGGTTTGTTGAAAAACACGACAGTAATTCGTGCACGTTTCTGAGTTTGACAGAGGAAGAATTGCAGCTGATAGAGACCACTGGTAATCCTGTCGAGATAATCCGTAGGACAAGATGGAGTCTTTACATACTTGTGTCGAACAAAATTAAGCTACACTAATGTGGATATGAAATAGATGGATACAAGAAACACGGATGACCAACGGAAAAAGTGCACCAGTCTCCTCACAGCACCGAATGGGAGAACAAGCATGTTCTCCGTAATCCAGTAACTGTTGGAAGAATAGCATCGGTAATTCTAGGGCATGGATTACAATCGTTTTAGAACAACTGTGTGAGCGTTTACCAGTCGACTTTGTCTGAACCTTTGCAGGGCGTCCTTTACTGTCTATGATTACCGCTGATTTTGCACCACACGTGCATGCGACTGCAATGGTGCATTGAAATGGCATATGAATGGGTCGACATTTTACATTCAGATGAATATTGATTCTCTCTACAACATAGTTGTCTCGCAGTTCCGTTAGTCGCTCCCCGTCCCGTGAAAGTTGCCACCCCTCGAAGGAGTCGAGGTGAAACCTCAGAAGGGGGATTCTCCTTACAATACCACTTTGGTCATAAGACACAATGTTCATAAGACTCCACGTTTGGCAAATCAAACAGGTTGTAACTTTTATTAATTTGCTATTGTACTTTATACTTTATACTTATATTTGTCAATACCTTGTTCTTCATGGTGGTAAATTTTGGCACATTGGCTATCGATGTATATACAGCGATTCTTACATGCAAATATTTGTTAAGAATAATTTTAATTTCGAATTCAAGTGAATTTTTGCAAACATACAAACCTCTTAGAATTGGAAATTAGTCCACTTCGTTGGAATTTATTTATACATAGATCTATTACAGGAATTATATCAAATTAAAATGTATAAATGAAAACATTTTTATTTTAACAGATCCATGTCCAAAAGTATTCGACAGACCTATGGACTGTGCAGAAATTCGATTGAATGGACATAACACTAGTGGAGTGTACACTATTTGGCCTAAGAGTAGAGTTTTGACTTGCGAATCAGTAAAAGCATACTGCAACATGGATATTGACGGTGGCGGCTGGACGGTAAATATTTTATAAATGTTTAACTAGTATTTTTGACAAATTTTTTAATAGATCACACATGATAACTCAAAATATTATAATATTCTTGAAATCGATGGAGGGGATATTAACAATAGATGAGTTAATGCATTAACAGCCTTTTGTTTATTTGTTTGTGATTTTAGAAAAATCTAATAATTAATATAAGCAGACAGTTTAACGTGGAAGGATTTATTCGCCTTATTTTTCATGATGCCAATATTACGCTCTACAACATGTATACTATTTTTACAAATCTTAGCAATTTTTTAGTAAGTTATGTTCGTATGCATACTATTTGCTGTTTAAATTTTATACACGAAAATTCAGCAGTTTCCCGTATTCAGAAATCCATACTAAAATTCTACGATTATGTGCCGTATTACTTTAATAAATTGCAACTAAGAGAAAAATGTCATTATTTCCATGCAAAAGAAAAGGATATTTATTCATTTTTTTCAATTTCCTATTTTTTTATTATCCTAGAATAATTGCAGACCTTTTTTTATTAAGTCTTAATATAAGCATAAACTTTTTTCCGATAGTTTTATCTGATGGTGTAATGGATTTTGGTAGAATTGCCTTTTAATTTTACTAGTGTCGAAGCTATCAGTTTTTTTGCCAATTCCTATATATTAATAATAAAAGTATAGAAAAATGACAAAGTTGCGCAAAAATATTGCACATCCTCATTAAGCTGCTGAAAAATATGATTATAGGATTAAGTCCATTTAACTCCATATTCCATTTAACATTGCGGAAAACTGAGGCTAACATTGAAGTAAATTGAATAAAAAATTGAGGGTTTCTCGCCAAAGAACCAAGCTGGTGATAGTTTGAGTGATAATTTCTAGCGCAAAATTTGGGAAGAAAGCACCAAAAGTTATTAAACTTAGAGACCATTTGGAGACATTTGGGTTCAATCCCTTTGTAATGGTTACTGGTCCAATCTCTATGTCACCGTAAATGTAAATAAATAACTGTGTGTGCCTACCAGCAATATCATGAAATTGAAAGTAGTGGACATACGAAGGAAAATATATAACATGGGGAAAAACTATAAAAGACGGGGGAATCTCTATAAGTCTGGAGAGAGCCTCAGTTTTCAGTTTAGTTCAGAGTTTATTCCAGAATTCAGCTCGAGTATTGGGAGTTCAGAAAATACTGAGAGATCACTGTGCAAGTTTAGGCATTTGAAGCTTTTTGTATTGCCTTTGAAGTGGTAACTATAGATTGGGCTGTGGTATACTTAGAAGAACTATACGAGTATTTTTGTGGAGAAATGTTCCAGAACTGGAAACTGTTTTCGGAAAAATAAATTTCATCAACCAATTATCGATTCCGTGTGCATACAATCCACTACGAACCCATATGTACATAACAAAAACTAAACTTTATCTACTGAGACTAAATATGCGACGTAGAAAATTTAGCTAATTGTCAAAGACAGAATGCAAATTTTGCATACCAATCAAACTTTTGTTTAATAAATAGATGAGGAGTGTATCGCAATTTCTGAGCCTGTGAATATGCTGTAGTGCGGTTGTATTTAAACCGCAGCTCAATTTGCCAGCCTAACCAAAATTATTTAAATAATAATTATGCTACTTTTTGACTGAAACAAAATTACTATCTCATAGAATGTTTAATGTAAAGCAAGAATAAATTTTACAAATGAACGAGAAGCATTCAACTTGAAATAGAAATTTAACAAAATGCAATCTCAAGTTGAAACTGACTTTAATACAGTATTTTGATAGAATATAGTTTATATCTTATTCTTCTCATTAGTGAAATGTATTATTCATTTCCTAGAAAACGTAATTCAGATTTTAATACTTGCGGATTATCTAATATCTCTTGTTTATGCACTATGCTAGTCAAATTAAAATAGTGGTAAAATGTATTTTTGGGAAAATGAATGTTATAGTAAAAAAGGCAAATTAATGAATTTTCCTTACAAGTTCATATATTATTAATTATTTTCTTAAATGCTAAAGCTATAAAAGAAAGTTACTCAACTACCCAAAATTATTGGAAAATTTTACAGCTAATGTATTCACTGTTCTTGATCTTCTTTTTATCATGTCATCAAAATCTATCATCTTTCATGATTTTGAATAAATTCCAGCTGTTTCTGATATTAAAAAAATCCACAAGTTTTCATTCTTTTGTTTATATTTTATTCAATAGATGCACTACAATCATTACGTTTTCCTTTTTCTTAGTTTTACTTTACTTTTTAAATTGTAAACTTCTAACTAAATGACTCAAACTTTTCAGTTCTTCAATACGAAGGACTGTTGTGTCATCCGTTCTCGAAATGCGACAACAGATTTTATGAATTCCATTCAAATATAGAGTTTATTTGTATGAAATTTAAATGAATTTAGGATGACAAATAGTTAATGAGATATTACTATTAACATACGAAGTTTAAGTATAAATATTTATTAATAGTATTATTGTTCATAATGTTTCTATTAACAATAATTGCTTTGCATTGTGATTTTAGGTAATTCAAAGAAGGGGAAATTTTTCAAAGAAAGAAGACTACTTCTATAGGAACTGGGAGGAATATAAGAAAGGATTTGGAAAATTAGACGAAGATTTTTGGTTCGGTAAATATTAAAGTTATTCAAACAATTTTAACAGTAGTTATACTCATAAAAATAACTCGTTTTTTTAGTTGGGTAGTTTACCATTTCTAAATTTGTTGTCAATATTTAGTGAAGAAAAAGCTTTAAGGAATATTTATGAATTGCTCGAACCATTGACTCGTTTTATGGACTTCTTTTCACCTTTCAATTGAACGCAATTAATAGCGTCTTTTCCTTGACATAAAAATACTCGGTTTCGAATTATTTTGGACGCTATTGCGGAAAGGCATCAGAAAATGTTAAACGTGTTAAAAAACCTTGATTTAAGAGCTTGGTTTATGTGAAAAGTTCAAAATCTAATAACTAATATATTTTATACATTAAAAATTTAAAATCATTACGTCAAAGAATCGAAAAAATTCGCTAAAAAATCAAGCGATAAAACTTTCATTCAAATTGATTTGAAAATTGGAAACAGCAAATTTCTGAGATTTTTACTTGCTTCGTGATATTCGCTAAAAATTGTTTAAAAATTAAATTAAACAAAATTTAGAGGAAGTTTTGAAAATCGTTTCACCGTATCGCACTGTCATTAACAAAATGTGTGTACAAAATTTGAACTGGGTAATTAATTAGAGGAAAGTTAAAAATTAATGAGAATCTTCTGACCATAGCGACAAAAATCATGAATAAGGTAAACAAAAGCTTAAAATTAATCAAAATAGCAATTAATAAATCATATACGTAGGATCGGTACTTACAGTTTAGGAATATGATGTCTGTAAACTTACTTCCGATGTGGCTGTCTAGGGGTTTGAAATCACTAATCCGACTTATGAATAACTCGAATATTTAATGAAACACGAATAATTGCTACAAAGTACAAAATGATTACATGTGTAGAAAGAAATAGATGGGATTATTTGCATATGAAGAGAATCAGCCATCTTTTACATGCAAACGTCTTTCAATCGCGTCATCGTCTTAATGAGAAATCGTCTGACTTCTATCATCGGGAAAGTCAAAGATTTATTTTCACAGCTTATCGCGTCATCGGATTATAATGGACGATGTCATCTTACATATATTTTGAGTAAAATTATATCTGTTTCAAAAGCGATCTGACAAAGATCCCTCTTACTAAGGCAAAAAAAGTAAAATTCTGCAAATGGAAGGAACGGCAACCGTATTTATATCGAAAGTAATGATCATGAGTGGAGCAAATTCAATACGAATATAATCCTATCTGTTGACGAAATTAGTAATGGAACGGAAAAATTAATGTATAATAATATTATAAATATTTAAAAGTACTGAATATAAGTGTTTGTGAATGCGAAAAGCTTCGATGAAAATCCACTTCACGAATAGAACAAGCTTTATGGATAATTTCTTGCTGAGCCGAAGCACCAAGTTAAAACTGTGATTAAGTGTCTGACTAGCCATCTTGCAGATGTCTTTTGTCTCCTTTAAAAAAGTATTGGTCTCTTAATGTACCGGTTATTCACAATTCTCCCCGGGCTTCAAACGCTATAACAAAAATCTGATGTGTACACCACTTGACTTCCTTGTACGGAATATTAAATTAGGTGCATTTTTCCTTGCATTCATTTAAACTTATTGGATTAAATTAAATTTACTTCGTCGATAGCGCATAAATCACAATAGAATAAATGCACTCTTTAAAGTTCACTATATTTGTTTACCATAGAGACACTCTGGTGCTAGATTTACATTTCGTTAATATTGTAACTCAGAATGCACAAAATTTATATCATTTGAAGAATTATCTAATCATTTCCACATGTTTTATGCAAGTACTACAATAAATCTAAAACGATGTATAAAAGAAATTAAGCAAACAAAACAAAAAATAAACAGTTTTTCACAGACGATTGAGTATTTCTCATTCAATTAATTCAGTTCTCACTTCGCGAGAAGGCAAAATACAGAAAAACTCAAAATAACTATATTAAAAATTACGAAGTAAATCTTAAACACTTATTTCCTCGAAAATATTCCAGAATAGATTAAGCATGATTTAATTCGCAATAATAAAAGAAGGCGTTATCTTTGTCGTTTCGAAGCTTAATTTCTCTAGATTGGCAACAAATACACTATTCTGCTGTTTCAAATATAAACAAACATGGCCACCATGGTAATCAAACATTAGTCGCACTTAAATAACTTTTAATTTGTTGATAATTCTACAAATATTGCTTGCAGATTTCCCAAAGCCTATGAAAACCTTAAGTGGAAGATAAGAACAACATATTTCAATCATTTTTAAAGCAAAAAATGCACAATTTACAAGCATATAAGTGTAAGCTGAGATCACTAAGCCGGTAACAGAGGGGATATATGTATATATATTTATATATTCTTGGTGCAGCCGATTGCAACCAAAGTACGAGGTGCACATCTACATGTTATAGCAGTCCTATATATAAAATTTCAAAGTTCTGACGCTACTCGTTTTTGAGTTATGCGAGATACGTACGTACACACAGACGCAGTGAAACTTTTTTCTTCAGAATTTATTCTAAATTAGTTTTATAATTTTTTTTCGGGGGGGGGGAGAGTCTTTTATTCTGTCCTTATGTACAGATGTACAGATGTGTGTACAGATGTTAAATTGCATTCGATAGCGATCAAAATGGATATTTTTTTTTAAATATTGATGCGTGAAACTTTTCGCGTTTACAATACTTCCTTTTTACTTCGCGGAAGGAAATAAAAAATTAAGATGAATACAGCAAAAAGGAACCTTGCACTAAATACAGAAACTATTCAAGTTTTATTATAATTACAGCTGGCAGCAGTCATATGGATTGCATTTCCCACATTTTGCCAAGTACTGCTAACGAAAACGTCCTCTGTATGTATATCTTATTTCCTCAGGAATGTTTTCTCCTAGCGTTTTAGCGTTTTGAAACGTTCTGAAAATTTTGCGCTACGTTCTGAAAATTTTTAAAACATTCGCATAATTTTCCCCTTCTTTTATTTGATAGAGATTTCCCTCTGAGAATCCAATTTATTAGCAAATTGTATTCCTTAGATTATTTTTACAGTGTATTCAATTAATATTTGCATTTTTGTTTTAGACTTTTATACCTTTTATTTTATGTTGAATTTATTACTTATTTTGTACTTCTTTATTAAGCTACACTGACATGGCAAGTGATCTCACACTTAAGAAACTTTCCAAACATACGATTCCACCTTACTTCTATTATTTACGTTCTAGCTCATTATGACCTTATATACTGCTGATGAGTTCGATCTTTTGAAGTCTGGGCATTTTGCTCGCCCTCTGTCTTTTTTCATTCCTCCGATGACTCTTTTGGGAACCGAGGTCAATTCATTCATCTGATGCTTTACAAGGTAATTGAGCAAGTTAAGTCACGCACCAGTTCAGTTACCGTCAGATACCTGTCAGGCAACGGCTCATTAACGATCAGATATTATAATGTTAATATTACTGTGTATTCTGATTCGAATGTAGGTTTGTTCTAAGGAAATAATATTTTGATATTTACCCGTAGTTTATCTATGAATACTTTTATTATGTCCTTAATGGAACTTCGTTCTTCAAAAATTAGTTTATTCTCAAGATTTTTCTCTCCAGATTTTCAGACGATAAAATTAGTTGAAAAAGGAGAAAATTCGCTAAAAAATAAAGTATATCTTATAATAGAAAAGCTGAAGAAAAAAAAAAAGGTGTATTTAGTAAAAACACACTCGCCGATCAGTGTTTAACAACGTTTGAACCCGAAACATTGTTTATTATACAGTAACGTTTTCGATTAATTTCATGAGTTGATTTTTTTAAATTTTACTACTCATTGTTTGCTCATTTTTTATTTTTACTGCTAAGTTTGATTTATGCTGTGAAGTAGAACAATAAAAGAACAGATCCATCTTTGTTTTTTAATATTATTTATTTATTATTTAATTTCGTTTAATTTTAAAATTTTATTACAAAGCTTCAAAGTACGTATATATACAGCTTTAAAGTTGGATTTATTCTCTAGGTTTTAATTCCTCTCATTCCCATGAAACTCATATAGTAGCCAGTTTTAACGCATCCGCTTATTGGATTTGTTAGAGAATCCGGGATTTAATATGATGTATGTATAAATATGAACAATAATAATACCATATAAATATGGTATTACCATATAAATATGCCATATACCATGTACATGGCAATATCGTATAAATATATAATATAAATATGCCATATAAAGATGCATACTGAAATACAATACGCACTTTTATATACACTGACTACCAGTAAGTATTTGGACACCTATGCAAATCACGATATCTGCGGTCCTAAGTACGTCACGGACTCCGCCGGTATATATCGTGTAGGAAACCGCATCGGCTTTAGTCGCATGCAAGATGCCTCGCAGTTCGGAGCTCTCTGATTTCGAGAAAGGTATAATTATCGGGTATCACAAATGTGGCCTATCCTTAAGAGACATATCTAGCGATCTGAAGTATCCAAAATCGACAGTGGCCTATGTGATTAAGAAGTGGAAGGTGAGCGCTGATTGTCGGAATGTGCCCCGATTCGGCAGACCAAACGAAACTGGGAGATAGAGACCGACGAGTGCTGTCCAGAGAAATTCGGAAGAACCGCACCCAACCGATGGCCCTCATCCGCGAGGAGTTTCAACAGGCATCCGGGAGTATTGTTTCAATGAATACCTTCCGTAAGGAAGCACATCCGCTTGGTTTTCATGGTCGTGCTGCTGCCCTTAAGCCTTTGATCACAAAGTCCAACCGCGCTGCTCGGTTAATGTGGTGCAAAGCACATCGAAATTGGACCGTAGATCAGTGGAAACGGGTTCTTTGGAGTGACGAATCAAGGTTCACCCTTTACTGTTCGGATGGCAGGATGTGGGTCTGGCGTCTACCTGGAGAACGTCTCCTGCCAGAATGCATTACGCCAACAGTCAAGTTCGGCGGAGGTGGAATTATGGTCTGGGGGTGTTTCTCCTGGTATGGGCTGGGACCCTTGGTCCCCTTTATGGTAAGCTCAACTCCGATGCCTACTGCACTATTTTGGATGACAATGTTCTTCCTACGTTGTGGCAGTTTTAGGGTTGGACCCCTGTACTTTCAGGGCGACAATGCCAGTTGTCTTGTTTCGACGTTAACCAAGGCTTAGTATGGTGCCAATGAGTCATCGAATGGACTGGCCTGCCCGAGCCAGACCTGAACCCTATCGAGAAACCTCTGGGACGAGTGCATCGCTGAATTCAGGAGTGCACTACCCGTGAAAAAATCGGTGAAGGAACTTCTATGTTTCTCCAAGCCGAGTGGAAGAAAATACCGCTAGCGTCATACAAGACTTGTGGAAAGTATGCCCGGGGGTCCACGCTGTAATTACCTCTGTGGAGGCTCTACCAACTATTGATTTTGAATAAAGTTAGTTTTTCTTTCTATCACAGGTGTCCAAATACTTATTGGTAGTCAGTTTAGTATGCGTGTGTGTACATAGGCAAAATATATATAATAAAATATCTAAAATAAAATATACATCTTTCATTTAGGTAATGAAAACATATACGCTGTGACTAATCAGAAGTTATATTCTGTCCGTTTTGATCTCACTGATTTCGAAGAGGTGAAAGCATATGCCGTATATGAAAAGTTTTGGATCGATAGGGAAGACGAAAGCTATCTTTTACACATCGACGGATATTATGGAGATGCTGGTAAGAAGTTCACTTTATTTCGATAGACATCTAGCTTTAGGCCTTTTAAAAATAAAATTTGGTTTCTAGTACATTAATAGATAATTGAAAGCCCAGTGTTGAAATATAAATCAAAAAATTACCTTCAGATTTTTAATAACGAAGTACTTAACGTCCACATCAAATAATATATATATATATATATATATTATGGTGATACTTAGATTATTAAAAAAGATGGAATATGTTTTAATGCTATGATGAAAGGGGGAAAATGGCGTGATTGATTATTTCGAACGGGGAATAGACTGAAAATGTCAGATTAAAAAATACCGGCATTTTGCAGAAATTTGTTATTACGGAAAAATATTAAGGTTTTTATATGTTAGAGATCAGAAAAGTGTCTGAAACAGTGATTAATCATTTAAATTAATTTAAAGTGAACGAGAGATATCTGAGTAAGAAGGGCTATATGCATGTTATACTTAGGGAAAGAGCACAAACAACCCTCATGCAGCCAAACTGTTTAGCGGGGTTTCAAAGCAGTTCGAATTAGCAGTGCTCAGCGATCTTACCACTCTGCTACTGTTGGGTCATAGATACAACATATCTTCATTTCATTAGCGTAATTTTGTAATAAAACAACTTGTTTGCACTCTTAAGTTCTGTCAAATTTCGTCAAAAATTTATCGATACTAGCGAAATTTAAAAACCACTGGGAAAATTTCTCATAATTTAAGTTTAAAAGATCTTTCATGGCACTTAATGATTTCAGATTAAATAATTATTTTAAGGTTCCGTTATTAGTGATAAAGGGAAAAAACAAATCTTTGACTAATTTAGATCATTGCCGCGGCGCGATCTTGCAAACAAATATTTATTTTTTCTCGGGTATCACATGATAGCAATCATGTTTTATCGTTTGTGATAAAACGGTGCAGAAAAGAAGACATTGGTTTAGAGTTTTAATTAAAATGACATCTTTATTTTGAAATAAAATTACACATTATGTGGTATGGGTTTGGACACACAGTGTGACTACCCTCACGGCTATTTGATTATAGATAATCAAGAACGATTTGCGCACACAGGGCACTGAGATGTTGAGCTAATCAACAATGTTGCTAATCGAATGCGAATATTGTCTGGAATCAGAGCTTCAGCAAGATAAATATTGTAATGTTCGCAACATAATTTGCAACATGAACTTCAATTTGCTGTTCACGAAACTTTACTGACGAGGTTGTCTCGAGATCCAGAAAATTCATCACACTTCACTTTAACCGTGTTTTCCTTAGCATACACATCTTATAACTGATATTTCATTACACTGCTGCAACACTTTGCCGTATACGGGCGGCGTTCGAATGTTGTGGTCATTTGCTGCTATCTAGGTGGGATATTTGAATTACAGAATGCTTGTTACACTCTATACAGTTCTTGTTACTTTATTTTTCAACTGCTGATACATTTCGAATAAATGGAAATTGGAAAAGGAATTTTTTCGAAAACTATATTTAAAACTACCTAGGATTTTAGATGAATTTGATACATATATACACTCATGGAAAATGAAACCCCAAAACCTTGAAGAAATCAGTTCAGAGGAAGGGAATGGAGGGAAACCATTTATTTAGGTAACATATTTATTTGTTTAATTAAGTCGCAGGTTAAAGTATGCACGGGAAAAGCCATTTCAAGTATGAAAATTTGAAACATAATAAACTCTATAGTCATCACGATGTTGGATGCAAACATGCAAAGGCACATGCGTTGTGTTGTACGGGTGCCGTTTGTCGTTTTGGGAGATATCCCAAAACGATCAATCAAATCAATCGATCAGTCAAATCAGCAGAGGTCCGTGCTGGTTGTGAATGACGCTGGATTTATCGTACAATCATGTCGCATGTGTGTTCAGTGGGAGAAATATTGGGCGATTTTGAAGGTCAGTGCAAAATGTTCACACTCTGTAGAACAAGTTGGTTTATAGCACCTTCGTATGGACGAGCTTTATATTTATACTGTTGGAAAATGCCCCCTGGAATATTGAAGAATGGTTGCACAACGGATGAAATCACCAGTCTGGCGTATTAATTTGCTGTCAAGGAGTATCTTATAATGATGAGAGGGCTCCTGCTGTCATAGGAAATTGCTCCCCAGACTATAATTTCTGATATAAGTCCAATGCTTCTATATCACAGAAACGGCTTTGATCTGAGAGCATAACAGATCTTCACTTCACCCTCCAATGAACTCTGGTTTCACGCCACCGAAGTTGCTAATAGAGATGATTTAAATTAGTAGTATGGCTGCTACAGGGAGTCTGGTTCGGAACTGTCACTAAAGCAATCGATTAGTTACAGTTCGCTATGTGATTCTGGTGCAAATAAAAGCTCAAACATCTGCTGCAAATGCGGTGCGATGGGCTACATACATGCGGGGAATACCGTAATCTTCCGTTTGAATTTCAGAAGTGACACAATAGTAAACAAAGAATCAAATTTTAAATATGAAAAAGCGAGGGTTTCCCAAAGAATTTCTTTTTTTCTGCCACTCCATTAAAAGAACTCCAAATTGACTTTATAATATATAATTCGGTTACCTAGAATACAATTTTGATACAAAATACATTATTAATAGCTGCTTTCCGGGCTTCACGCTGACTGAAGTGGCTTCATTTAGGGGGATGGAACGCTTTTAGAACCTCGGATACTGATTTTCATATTATCTTGGCTCAAGCTGAGCTGTGCAAAATTTTAATAAACTCGAAGGAAACTGGAAAAGAGTGTAGAACTAATACAGCGCAATGTAACGATTTTAGTAAGAAGTCATAGTTGCTTTATTATCAATTATATCCTTTCGGAAATGAGCTGTCGGAAGATCACCACCCACATTGACCGATTTCATCACCTTTTTGGAAATTTTCGCAAAAGACCGATAGTAAGCGAAATTAAATTCTATTTTAAAAGTTCTGTATTATTTTGGAAATTTCTATACAGTTCTTAAGAATATCGAAAGGTTTAACAAGAACTGATAGCGGAAACATAATGGTCACGTGACGCATAAGATTAGCGATGGAATTTCAAATTCGAAATTTTTCAGAATTTTTTTTTTTTTTTTTTTTTTTTTTAGTGTGTGTGTGTGTGAAAAAAGGAATTATAAATCCCTTGCTCAGTATGTATGACTTCCACTGATAGCGGGAAGGCAACAGTTGTTAAGCCGAGTGTTGTGAGCGAAAGTTCTGATATATACGCTCTAGGTGTGTGCTCCCTGGAGTGGTTTCACGAATCTTATGCAGACAGTGATCTTCTTCTTGTTTTGAAGGCTAAGTGTGCAAAATTTGATCAGGATCGGAATAAAATCGTAGATTTGTTTTAATCACATACATGCAAATAAACAAATACAAAAGTACACTCTCCTTTAGATACATAATTGATATTAATTTATTCAGCTAAAGTAATTTCTCTCTCCCAACTGGCAATAAATAATAATATGAATTAAAGTGCGTTTATTGCTTTTAAATTGCTAAATTTGTTGTTTAATAAAAAATGAATTTGAAGGTAAAATGAAAGAATTTACTCTTTGCTGAACGACAACATTACCGCACAAAAGATGAAAATATCTGCATTACCGCACAAAAGATGAAAATATCTGCATTACCGCATAAAAGATGAAAATATCTGCAATTCGGCCATTAGCAACAAAATTGTTTTATATAGCTGAATTTGTTTATTAAATTTGACAGGTACACTCGTTTCGCCATGTGGCAACGTACATCTTTTATACGCCTTAGTTTCTTGCATTGATTTTAGAATAGACGGAGTAAGCATGACATGACAAAATTGAAGCCAAGGAAATGTTAGCAACGTGACGTAAGTCTTATTATGGCCGCCATGAAGCGTACGGGTAAGACTATAAAACATATCTTTCAATAAAATTATACTGAATTTGGAAACAAATATCAGCGTTCGCAGGCTCAGAAAAGTGATTTTAGGCACACATTGCATAAATACCATTGAAACTTCCAGTGATCTTCCAGGTTTTACAATGTAAGCATTTCTGTTATAATTATCATTTATACATTTTTATGCACCTAGATTTTAATAAATTTGAAAACGTTATTTGCAATCTTTGCGGTTTTTATAGAAGTAGAAAATCTTTTATGTTAAGTATTAAAATTAGAACAGGAGACTTATAAATGTTCAGTATTGAATGGCTAACATGCAAACAACGTCGATTAGAATGTAAACGTGCTGATATTTTTATAACAAGTTAATAAAATTGGGTTGATAAATGTATAAAAAATGTGGACCCCATGGAAAGGTTTGTTGAAAGGCTTATGTAGACACTAGCCTTCCTCTTGCTTTGAAGGTCAAATGTGCCTTCATTTATCAATATTCGAATAAAACTGTAGTTTCATATGAATTACAGAAGAACAAACGGGCACACTTCTTTATATATATGTGGATCAATTCAATAAGATGTTTCTATTCTTTGGTTAAAATTATTTGTAATCTTCATATATTTTTATATTGAGAAACCCTTGAGTCGAGAAAGAATAATGTCTTTGTTTATAAAGTATATAAAAATAAATGAAAGCAAAATGAATCATTAATGTACAGATTATAGTAGGATAAATTTAGTAATGAGCCATATATTTTTATAAGGCAGAGTTAAATAATTAAATATCGCCTTGAGTGAATCTTCATAAAATGTTTTGCAGATGTTTGCAGTAGAATAAGAAAGTTCATAAAATTAAACAAAATAATTATCAGATATCACTACGAATGGGAGAAAGGAACTGCAAATTTTATTAATGCAATAAATTTAATTAACTTTAGAGAAATAATTTCCTTAATAAAGGCTAAAAATAAAAAACCAGATGAATCATGATGGCTTAGAATTTTTGATAAACAGTCTCTCGCGCTGGAGATCAAACTGTTTTATTTTTCCGTACAGGATTACAGTCAAAAACATCGCGAAGAAAACAACGCAAAGCGAAAATGTGATACAAAACATCGTGGGCGAAAAGAAGGCAAAACGAAAACATCGCAGTTCTAAAAACATTGTAATACAAAATATAGTGGTCGAAAATAAAGCGGTTCAAAAACTTCGCAGTTTAAAAACATTGTCATTGAAAATATCGTAGTAAAAATAAAGTACTCGCAAATTATTGCATGACCATAACATGGCACACATACGTTTTTGAAATCTTATACTGACCTATTATGTAACTGACTTTCGTCATAACTAACAAATCGACAATTTACTTTAATTTTTACCACGATATTTTGTACCACGATTTTTTAGAACTACGATGTTTTCTTTTATTGCTTTCTTTTTGCCCACGATGTTTTGTTCTACGACGTTTTCGCCGTGCGTTGTTTTCTCCGCGATGTTTTCGGCGGACACCTTGGACAGTGTTGTATTCTTCAATTTTTAAAATGACATGAATTTATTTAAAAATATATTAATCTGCTTTCAAAGAAGAAAATTCTCTTTATGTCGTCTTTCATATTAACTATTTTTTGTTTATTCTTCAGGTGATTCTATGAAAATTCACGATAAGGAAAAATTTACCACAAGAGACAAAAAGAATGATAAAATAACCACAGGAAACTGCGCCGAGAAACAAAGAGGAGGTTGGTGGTACTACAACTGCGGCTACGCCAATCTTAACGGTCTGTATATTCGAGGAAGCAGTGAGAATGGTACCACGTGGTATAACTTCAGAGGAAGTAAAAGTTTGAAATCAACTGAAATCATGATAAGGCCATTTAATTTCGTAAAGCCTTAAGCACATTTCTGGACGTATGAATTTTACTGGATTCATACAAATGCGATCCAGTTTCGCAAATTTTGCATCAAGTAATGGAATTAGATACAATAAGAAGTCGATGGACTTTACACAAATGCCAGAAACAAAATGATTCGCCAGGAAAAATATTTATTTAAATGGAGTTAATTTTCCTTTACAGTGTGCTAGATATTAATTCAAGATACTTTAATCTTACTACTTATCTTCATTTTCAGTGTAATTATTTGTATCCTAATAGATGATGGCTGCATCCACTCAATTTTGTGTTTGCTAGCTGACATAAATATATATTCCTCTTTCTTAAGCACTTCACCGTTCTACAAAATAAAAATAATGGTTTCCTTTTAATCCCTTCAAAGACGTTTTGAGTCTAAAACTGGCTTATAAATGTTTCTTTTCCCATTTCACCAGTTCTTAGCATCCATTCACTCCTTGAAATCGGCCTACTCTCTCTACCCAGGAGAAAATTTCTTTTGTCTTCTCTAATATTTTATCTGAAAATTAATAAAGAAGATCACCTAAAAGCACGCTTTCAAACGAGCAGTAGTTCCTCTGCTATACCAGAGCAGGAGACCGGAATTGGATTGTTATGTCCTGCCTTTGTAAGTGAACTGCTTTTAGTATGATCCTGCCACAACGCCCCTCTGTAGATAAAGTGACCATTAATCACCGTTAATCAATCACCGCTTTTCATTTTCCCTGCATTCTGAAGGTAGTTGGAAAACGTTATGCGACAAGGTTTTCTAATCGAGGAGTTTGACTGTCATCTGCCTGATTCAGGGGAAACGATGAAGTGGTTAAATTACTGCTGTAAAATGAATCAGATATTTAACATTAGAAATCTTAAAAATTTATTGAATACATTTCTAGGATATACAAAATGGGACGTGTTTATTTCATGGGACGTGTTTAAAAGTAGAGTATAAGTTTTAGGAAAATAAAGAGCCTCGTTTTATAATCTGAAATCTGGTCTTAAAAAATTTATAATGTGTAAAATACCAACTTTTCATTTTGAAAAGTTTTTGCTAAAATGAGATATTACATACAAATGAATACTTATTCATAAAACTTGATTCATTTTAAAATGTAGCCTTTAATTAATTTTCAATAAAATGCATGTTTGAAATACACTGTTCTTTATACAATAAAATTTATGTTTTACGTTTGTTGTCTATTAGTACTCTGATCATCTGAAAATAAACGTACAACCTCATGGTAGAGCTTGACATTTAAACATCATGAGAGTGAGACAAGCATGCACATATGACATTTAGATATCACCACAACCACCTTAGTGGAAGTCGCCAAATTTTCAGAAAGTGCTTAAATCTAATACGTATGCGTATAACAGTTCTTCAGAAAAACCATACTCATAACAACACTCAGTCAAGCAACTTCGGCCTTTTCGAATTTGTTCTTTTTGTTGTATTCCAAGCTCCAACTTTTTTTTAATTAATCGGGATATTTTTTGCCTTAAAATTAATTTTTTTAAAGTATTAAAAATTACTAAATTATTAAATTTTAAAATTTTATTAAATTATTAAATTTTAAAGTAATTCATTTTAAATAATTATTTTTGGAACTCGTTATAATGGACGAAACTACTTAAAACATTCTGGGAAAAATACAGTATTTTACCAAAAAACCGCTAAATGGAACAATTATGAAATGCATTTTGTCGATAGGAGGGCAGAAATACCGCATTTGTGCAGTTCTTGATCGTTTTTTTAAGCGAAAACCGATATCTGACCACACGAGAAGAAGGAAAGCGCTAAAGTATTAGAGAAAGATTTCACAAAAAATGTAAGAATTTTATTTTTTAACGTTTAATATAATCCTTATTTAATAATTAAAATGTGTATTTAAAAATTTTTAAATGTGTTTTCTTTTGATATATTCATAATATTTGCCGATTTAAGATAAAAAAGTAGTTTCGTAATGTATTTAGGAAAAGTAATGAAAATCACCAACTTGTACCCAGCAGATAGTTTTAACCGTTTCATCTGTAAAAAAACTCCATATTGCGCCAAGGGGGTTTCGTTAATATGTAAATACCGCACTTAAGTCTGAAAGTTCCTCTATTAAGCCTTTATTGTTGAAAGAATTATGCTGCGTACTTCGGCTCTTTTCATTAACTATTACTAACTGATCTTTAGTTAAGAAAAAAGAGCCAGTATAAAACATACAAATAAACAATTAAAAGTCTCAATCCCATCGTCCAAGTAGTACCATAATTTGTCCTTCGTTCACTTCAAGTCCTTCGTTCACATTCCACCATAACAATTACCGTTTCCTCACTTATACTTCGTTCTGCTACTATTACAGATTTTTTTTGGCGGTGATTGTTACATTGTTCTCTCCTACAGAAATATTCGGTTTCGCTTCTACATTTTTAAATTATTCATTTACGTTATTAAAGTAATCTATAGCGGTGAGCCCAAACTTTATTGTATTATGAGTCATATACACTGAAGAGCCAAACAAATTGGCACCGGCGTACATATGAAAATAACAGAGATATAGAACCAAGTTACAATAAAGAGCGGTGGTCGGCAGTATCTACGTGCAACAAGTGTCTGGCAAAGTTGTTAGATCGATTACTGTTGTTACAACAGCAGGTCATCAAGATTTAAGTGAGTTTGAACATGGTGTTATAGCCGGCGCACGAGAGATGGGTCATAGTATTTCCTAGGTAGCGATAAAATTTGGATTTTTGTGTTCAGCATATAGTATCTCCGAGGAAGCGATAAAGTATGGATTTTTGCTTACGATCATTTTATGAGTGTACCGTGAATATCGGGAATTCGATAAGAGACCAAATCTCCAATATCTCTACAGCCGAGAAAAGCTCGTAAAAGAACAGGAGCAATGACAACTGACGAGAATCACGAAACTTTACAGGCGTGTATTCTTCCTCAAATTACTGCAATTCTCAATGCTGGGTCATCTACATGTGCCAGCCAGGGTATTATTCAACGGATCATCATTGATATAGGCTTTCGGAGCCAAAGGCCCACTCGTGTACCATTGACTGACTATATAACACAAAGCTTTACACCTCGCCTGAGCCCGCCATCATCACCATTGAACTTTTGATACGTGACCTGTTTCCAATCCCAAACTCGTTTCCAATTGTATCGGGCGGATGAACGTGTGCGGGTATGGACACAACCTCATGAATTTCTGCATCCTACATGTCAACAAGGGATTGTGGCAGCTATATTAACATTACAATAATTACACAGTAATATTAACACTACAATATCTTTTAAAATGTATTCGTTTCTTCTTCCCGCATCGTCAATCTCGCCATGTCTGCAGGTACGCTGCAGGCTTCGAATTACTCAGTGTTGCTGGAACTTGTCGTTTATTACAACTTGCAAGTCGTAGCCAACACCACTGTCCTCATCGTTTTCGTTACTGTATAATCTGTCTTCCCTCGTGCAAGGATTTCGCGCAATGACATTTAGAGCCATATAGAGCATAGCATGCAAGAACCGTGTAGCGCAGGGTTTCTCAACTCAAGAGGTTATTATATTTTTTTTGGGGGGGGGGAAATTTCAGTTTCAGGGGAGAAATGCTGTCATCTTCGCATTTCTCTCAAGAATTTAGTTTCAGTTTATGAATATAAAAAATATACTTTTATTCAAATAGTATTTATCAACTTGAATAAATTTATAAAGATTATAAGATACAATAATACAATATTTATTTTAATTTATTTAAAGTTTATTTATTGTATTTAAGATACAATATTTATTTTTTATATTTTCTGAACGCTTTGCAGTTTAATTTACAAAGCAGTTGAAAAATCCTCTAAATCTATATTTATTATTCGAATATTGGAAAGGAGTGGAATGATTCTCTAGGAACTATGAATGAGTGCAGGGATTAGAAAAGGTTGAGAACTTTGATATAGAGCATTATATATCTCTGTTCTCTGGAAGCTCTTCATTATTAATGCTTCATAGAACAGAAGAGCAACCAAAATCCACGAGGAATTCAGTTATTAAAACGAAAATACCCACTATCTAGAGGAATTTATTTACAAATTTTTGAACTCATTTTCTGAACGTCTTAGGAAGGGAGTTAAATGGATATTTAAAACGTTTGCAGGAAGTTTTATTTAAACAGTTAACAGGAGGATATAAGCAAGTAAATACGGTATGCAGGGAAATTCATTTATGGTTGTCACCACTATGCATCAAATACAAGAAGTAAAATCTCTTTTTAGAACATTCTAGATTTCCTACTTGATTTTGAAACATACCTCATCCACAAAAAGTATAGGCTACATGCCATTTCATCACTGATACAGCATTCAGCTATCATATTTGATATATGATTTACATCATCTTATAAAACACGTTTTGTACAGGTCGTTCGTTGTCATGTAAATATATGTTCCTTCTTCGTCGAGCTTCCATTTCATTACTAGCAGCACCTGCACTGCACAATGGTACTTCGATATACGCCATTAATACATTCCATATCCTTGGCCGTATACCAATGCAACTTTTCCTGTAAGAAATAAAAGGACAGCAATTAATCCGTTCTTTTAAAAAAATCCTTTTATTTTTATTATTGTACTGTTTACTACTAAAATACAAATGTAGTGGTTGAAATCTGTAGTCTGAAAAAATGAGGTACTGCACATGATACTATAACACCGAGGGAAAAAAAGACAGTTCCACTCGTGCGAATTTTACAAAACTGGGCAGCCTGACATAATTTGAGCCGTAGAATCGAAATATGTAAACAAATTGTATGTTATTTCAGAAAAGGCCGACTTTGTATCAAAATACCTATGTTAGAATAGTGCTATATATAAATCTAATATATATCCTAATTTCGAGACATGAAAAACGCAATTTCAATTTCGTCAATCGGCCTAGTAGAACTGCCCCCCCCCCTTTTTGGCGTAGTGTACATTGCACAAAAAAAAGGGGGAGGGGACAGTTCTATATCTCCCATTCAACTGGGTCTATTGATGAAATTCTAATTCCGTTTTCGATGTCTCGTAAACGTGATTTAGGATATATATTCGATTTATATATAGCACTATTCTATCATAGGTATTTTGACACAAAATCGGACTTTTTCTGAAATAGCATACCAATTGTTTTCCTTATTTCGATTCTACGATTCAAATTATGCCACACTGCCAAGTTTTGTAAAAATCACAAGAGTAGTTTTTAAAAAATTAGAAAAAAATAAAATACTCTTAAATTAAATGAAATTAATGAAAATTAGCTCTTAAAATTTTACCTTCTCCATGTAATTAAATTTGGTATAAATTTAGAAATCTCTCTTTTTTTATTAAACAAATTTACTTCTTCCTTTCACATTTCAAAATTTAAGTTCATTCCAAATAAAATTCGCCTATTTTTTATGATTTATTTTCAAAATTCGTATTTTTAAATAATTTTTATAAATTTTTCGAAAATATTTTCGATAAAATGTATAATTATCTATATAATTCTATATAATGATTATGTGTTCTATATAAAATATCTATACAATTTTTACCATCATCTTAAAGTAGATGTATTTCTAAGCATACCTGCAAAAAATTAGAGTTTTTTATTCAAAATTTCCGAAGATATACGTGAATATATATATGGGCGCGTTTTGAAATTTGGCATATTTGTTGAAAGCGATAGAATGATAACATCAATGTTGAAAGCAGTAAGATGAAATGTGGTTTAGGCACCTTGTTAAAATTATTTGAAAATAGGGTTTCTGAGGAGAAAGTGATGAGCGCAAATGGCAAAAAACGCACCAAAATAAATTTTTGAACTTTTCAGTTAATTTCGCACCCAATGTTACAAAATTTAATATTTTGGCATAATTTGAGTAAAAAAAAAATGAAATAGGGAAAAAGTTGGCATATCATTTTAGAAAAAGTCCGATTTTGTCTCAAAATACGATGCTATATATAAATCTAATTAATGATATGTATATGGAATGTCAATCTCTCGAACAGCAGTTCAGTCTAAACTTTTCAGCGGTTTATATGAGATTATTAAACCTTTCGACGGTTCTTCTGATAATTTAATAACATCTTTTTTAAACGGCATAAAATAATTATTTCAACTGAATAGAATTACGAACAATGTTCACAAGATTATATTTACAAAAAAAAAAAAAAATATTTATCGGGCT